CAGGCTTCATCAAAACAAACTATAGCTCTGTCATTTCTCATAATAAGAATATTTTAGTCCAAAAACTCAGTGGGCAATATGCATTCCTTCAGTGAATGCTATGCCTTTCTTCAGAAAAGTGAATGAGTGTGTGCTTCACCTCAGTTCTCATGTAAAAATGAGACACGTAGCAGGACATAAATGACTTTACAAAATAATAAAATTATAACAACATGCTCACATGCAGTTTCTACAGCACAGACAAAGATACATACAAAGAAAAATAATCCATGCAATGAAAAAAAAAAAAAAAAAAAAAGGACAGGTTTGGCAATTTACAGTGAGAGTATATTTTTGTTTGATAAAGTTCAGATCTCAAGAAAACGAGATGTGAAACCAGTCCAAAGTCAGCCTGGACTGAAAGCTAAGAACATGAGAAAACAAGTAGGCAGGAAGTAAAAAAAACAGGAAAGCAGAGATTTCTGAGACAAAACCAAGCAAGTGTGGTCAGCTGCTGGCATGCTGCGATCAAAAACAATAAATCTGAACGTGAGGCGTGAATGGATGGAGAGGAATCCTGCGGGAGGATCTGCTGATGGTTTTTTGCTTCACAGTTGGATAGTTTCCTGTGATTTGCTTAAATCTACAAAATTCTTCCCACAAAATACGGAGGCATAAAACGATTCGGCCAAATTTTCAGTAACAACTAATTACAAACGCAGACTAAAGATGAATATTTTACAAAAAAAAGGCATCAGTTTTAAGAAGACATGCTTGTCTGCTACAAGTAAGACGACTTTTATAACCGCTCGGTGTTTTTGAGTTTGTTTTTGAAGGTTTTTCACGCTTTCTCCTTGTAAAGAAGTGCCATCTTGCCTGCGCTGCCCTTTTGAGGTCTGCTCATTGATTTTCAATTACGTTTAGGTTGGGGCATGAGGAAGGCCATGGCAACACCTTCACCTTAAGGTGCTTCAATATGTGAATGGTGATGTTTGTTTTACAATTATAGCACTGTTGTAGAAAGCATCCTTTTCTTAGAAGTTAGAAAATGTGGTTGTTTAACCACCATTTTCTCCTTTATGTGTCTGAACCTTTACTTTTATCCACAAGACTGATTTCTAAACTGCAGCAGGCTTGATAAAATGTTCCTCTGCAAAGCTTTAAGACTCGAACTTGGTAAGGTGTAACTTTTATTTCCTGATTATCACTTACCACTGAAGGCGTTATAATGTTTTTTACTTGTGTCTGAGTGTGTGTTTGTTAGTCTGTGCGGGGCTATCCAAATCACGGTCCAGGGGCCAAATCAGGCCCACGGGTGAGCTCAGTTCGGCCCACCAAGGGGTTCATTTTTAAATAAAACTAGATTTTAAACCATAAAACAAACTTATTTAATGAGAATAACTGCTGGACGTCCGGCCTCTGAGCTCTTGGCTTTCAGTAACTGTGGGCCCCTGGGCAGTTTTGTTAAATAGCCCTGCTATAGTGTTAGCCAAATATCTTGTGGACTCCCGAACAGATTTTAATGAAACTCAGAAAGTAATCACTTGATGTACGTCCACAGCAGATTTACTTTTGGATTCAGTCCCGACCAACTTGGAGGGTGCAACCAACTGAAATTGTCCAGTAACGGCTATAGTTCAATCGATTTAACAAATATTGAGTTAAAATTTAGCATAACGGTAGCTGAGAGTCATCCACAACGCATGCTATGAGTGTAAGAGCAAGCACCATGTTGTGTTTAAGGTTCAGTCAAAACAGCTACAACGCTGTCATTTCTCAACAAACCAGGATCTTAGAGCAGCCGAAGCTGTTCAGCTTTAGCAACCTTTTGAACGTTTACACTGTCTTCTTCATGCAAGCTTTATTTATACAGGTTAGTCTCACTGAGTCACAAGGATCTTCTCCTGGCTGAGCTTTAAAACAACACAATTTACACAATTCCTGATTTATTTTACACTATTGACAATAGCTATGTTTACATGTGCAAAATTCTTTGATCGGACTGAAATGTATTTGGATAAAATACAAATGTATAGCTTACATGAGCACAATCCGTTCACGACGAGCGTTTACATGCATAGAATAGAAGTACTGACATGTGCAGAGTGGTAAACTCTCCTTAAAAAAAAACACAGAAGAAGTTCCACTTCTGTGATGAACGTAAACAAACCTGAGCGCCCAAAATGGACCCGCGCCAGGTTGTAATGATGGTGGAGACGTTACTGCACTCCCTGACTGAGCTACAGGTGATACAGATCATTTTGAGCTCTTTCTAAGTTCCTAGTAGAAATGTTGTGTCGTTCATGAACCAGTTTTGCTTCCCCGACACATTAGCATCTAGCCAGGTGGAAATACGTGAGATAGACACAGGTCGCACATGCGCAGTCAGGTCAGTTTTCCACGATCGGAATAAAATGATCAGATTAAGTGTTTACATGTACACTGTTCAGATTATGAATCAGCATAAACCACCCCTCTCATTCAGATTACAAATTCATTCGGATCGAGCTGAATCAGCAAAGAATAATCCGAACAGGGTGTTTACATGACGCATTTTTATTCTGAATGGCCATTTAATCTGATGACTTGTGTCCATGTAAACATAGCTAGTGATGCTGAGAGTCCATTCTTCTCCATATATCCTGCTCCCCACGTTCCATAAGAACATAGAGGGGAGGATGTAGACCAGGGCTATTCAACTAAATTACTCAGGGGGGCACAGTTACTGAAAGCCAAGAGCTCAGGGGCTGGACATCCAGCAGTTATTGTCATTAAGTTTGTTTAACAGTTTAAAATCTAGTTTTATTTAAAAATGAACCCATTGGTGGGCCGAACTGAGCTCACCCGTGGGCCTGATTTGGTCCCTGGACCGCCAGTTGAGTAGCCCTGATGTAGACCTACCGGGAAACCATTTATGTTAATGGTCTGGCTTGTATCATGCTGGTGTGTTAAAAGCAAACACAAACAAAAGGAACACTTTGTGGCCCCCGGCGATAGCGTCTAGAATGAGTGTTTGACCTGCAGTGTGCACACAAGCTGCTGTAAGAGACGCCGAGTGCTTTTATTTCCTTCCATACTGATGACGGTAGTAGCAACATGCTGGATGGAAATCCACGAGAATCTTGCTGGACACGGTTTCCTATTTGTTCTACAACTGGACGAGACGTGCGCAGGTTTGCAGCTGTTGCTGTTTCACAGCCGTAACATTTACACTTCATCGGAGGAAACAGACGACAGCTTTTGTTTCGACATCACAGAGTAACGCAGCGTAATAGGAGAGACTGTCAAAAAGTCAGACTGCTAAACAAAATAAAATTCCTCAGGCTTATTACTGGAAGTTCAGCAAACATGCACACATGGTTAACTGCCTGCAACAAACTGAAAATGACTCTTTATGTGTTCTCGGCCCTCGCCGAGCTCACCCATCCATAAAAATCCCATCTCAAGGAGAGCAGAGGTGAGGTCTCGCTTTCCTCTCCTGCTCTTGTTCTTTTTTTTTTTTTACTTTCTCCATCTTCCTTACAAATGCACACACAAAAGAGCCCTTTTTTCTGTATCATAACTACTCCTTCAATTACTCAGACGATTACTCAGATCAATGGTTTGCCTGCCTGTATTCAAGAGTGTCCCCCCGGTAGGCAGAAAAAACAACATTTAAAAAAAAAGCCTCCTGGCTGAATGCATTAAACAGAGTGTGTGACACGGGGACAGGATAGTGTAATACCACGCAATAATACGAGGGAGGGATGCAAGACTGGCAAAACGTATTGTCAGTCAGAGCTGTCACACATGAAGGGGTAACACCAAAGTCTATCAACGACGTATCTGTTACAGCGTGCAACCCCGCTTCATAGATCTGCACAAGCAGTCCCCTGCCATTAAGTCTCTCAAAAAACGCTCTCTGGTAGAAAAAAAATAACAATAATAGCCAACAACCGGGTGCAGCGGAGCTCTTCCAGTGGCAGACGTAAGGAGCCTAACAAGGGGTTGAGGGTGATTTCATGCTCTCTATTTAAAAAATGACAATACATGAGCGCACTTAATTACGCAGTCTAGTCTAGATCAACAGTCTTTCCACAGCGGTGAAGAGACTGGTGGATTCATTAAGAGCAAAAGCTCTTTTTTTTGTGTGAGGGAAACAAGCTGCTTTACAGAGGAACCGTGTCTCATGCTGGAAAAAAAGAAATAAAAGACCGAAACTGAAAATCAGACGAAAGCGAGAGAGAGAAAAAAAAAAAAAATCATCAGAAAAAAGTCAAGGCTTTGGCCTATATTTCTGATTTGTTTTGATGGAATGTAGCGTCTGCGCGGAGGACTCTAAGTGCAGTGAAGCGAGTCGTAAAAAGCTCTGTGATGCTGCTTCACCCTCGTTCTTTGCCCCTTGCTCTGCAATCGTCTTGCATGTAATGAAAGACAAATATTAATTCAGTTCGAATGTGAAGGAACGTTCATTTACGAGAGAAGCAAGAAGATTTTGCTCACGCACAGTAACCAAATGATCTGTGACGGGTGTTTTAGGAGCCGTATTCCCTTTTAGAAGCCCTCCTCTGCATTTTTACCCACTTTTCTTCAAGAATAATCTGACTTCTGTAAACATAGTAATATTTTCTGGTTCTCTTGTTATCTTGAGGTGATTCCCACCCAACCGTCAATTGCAGCTTTTGAGAGAAGCAGACAAAAGGCAAAGACAGGGCCATAATTGATGGCTCAAAGCTCAAGCTTTCTCTCCGAGGGTCTGCTCAGGTCCTGATCCCCTGGCCTCAACCTGAAACAATCACTCTTAGTTAACGACAACACTTCAGCTATCGACAGCGTGATCCTGTAAAGCAGACACTTCAATCAACAGGAGCAGCCGCAGGAGGTGTTGTGTTGGAAGTGAATAAAACAAGGAATGGGAAGGCGGCGGGGTCATGGGGACGGATGAAATCAAGAGGTAAACAAATGAATTGATGAATGAATAATAGATTGGCCAGCTAGTGGCGACTTGCAGCAGCGATGCAGTATTAATAACTGACTCTTACTGTTCGTCTCTGTGTCATCACTGATACTCTTAGGTGGACCGTGGCCAGCATAACACACTGCTGATCTGTACATTCGATCCGGATTACGAACTTTCTTCAGTCCTTCAGGAAGCAAAGAGAAAAGTAGAGAAAATCGAGCAACAAGAAAACATGCTACCACCCTGTGACAACTGAGAACAGTCCCCATGCAAGCAGAAAACTAGACAGTAGATTGAATTACGTACACAAGAGCTGTTGGGCAAGATATCACGAGAATAACAGCAGCTGGAAAACTTTGGGAGAAATTTTGAAAGGGTGCCAGTACTGCTCAGAATTCGATTTTGTAAAGATCTAAAGTAGGAAAAATGTAGGGATGCACGATATTATCGGCATGGTGTCGGTATCGCCCGATATTAGTTATAAATGTGAATTGATGAATGAATAATAGATTGGCCAGCTAGTGGCTAGTGGCGATGAATAGGCCTGTCACAATAAACAACAAATCAATTAATCGCATGATAAATGAAAATGATCGACCTCATTTTCTTTTATCGACTTTATCGTTTCTTTGTCTCGCTCTCTCTTTCTACTGAAGACACTGGATGACAAAAGGCTCTGGTGCTCTTCACTGACCCCTCCCTTTCTCTTTTCTCTTTAAAATCCATTTTAATCGTCCAAAATCGCATATTTGGATCGTTAAAAGCAGCTAATCTGAGAAGCTAAGCTACGAGCTAAGCTAACAGGCAGACCTCGGGAAAAAAAACTCCATTTTGTCGAAGCTCCAAAATTCACGGTTGAAACCCGTGCCTTCGTGTAAAAAGTTGTGTTTCTCTGTAAAAAGAAGCTGAGAACTTGTTTACTGATTTTTTATTAAAAGCTTTGTGTGAAATATGTTATGCTAAAGAGCTCAAACCACACTGAGCGTCTTCCAATTTGAGAACCGAAGAGAGACAGCCCATGTCACGTCAAGGGGCCTCCCTCCCATTTTTCTTAAAGAGACACACTGCTCGTTCCCTCACTGTCCATCCTTCGGTTCAAACAGTCTTATACTGCCATTCGGTGGTCTAAAAAAGGTACTACACGCAAACCAAATATAACATTTCTTCTTAAATTTGACAATAATTACTAATTATTGTCAAATTTCAAACAATATTATCATTTATCGCAATCATTTCTGAGAATTAATCGCCCAGCAAAATTTGTTATCGTGACAGGCCTAGTGATAAAGGTAAATATCGGACATTCCATCATAATAACTCACCGATATAAAAGGCTTCTCTTTAAAGTTCACGTTTAATTTAAGAAACTGTCAAGTATATCTATTAATGCACTACTACTTGTGCACTTTTCACTTGTCGCTTGTGAACCAATTGAGTTTAGATTTGTGAAAATTTACAAATTTACACTGTTCAAGTGTTGTCATTGTGTTAGAGAGAGTAAATGTCATGCATAAATTTGACATTAAACATAATCCAAGTTGAAGTGTTGCATCATTTTCAACCCCTTTTTGGCATCTGCATTTGGTAGCAGGCCAAATTGACAAAGACCATGCAGAATAATTTGTGTTAAATCCACAGGAAAAAAAAAAAGTTATGCAGTCTCTGTAAGTAGATCTAGGGGGAAAAAATATTGGTATTGGTATCGGTTATCAGACAAATAAGATTTAATATATTGGCATATCGGCCAAAAATAATCCAATATCATGAATCCCTATGAAAAATGCTTACATTTTGGTTTAAAAACTATACAAGAAGTATCAACAGAAGCAAGATGATTAAGAAAAAATGGTAAAGCTGCTGCTGGTGACACAATAGGGTCACCGTGGTAACCACAAACCTGTGTCTGTCACTCCCTGACTGCCTATTTACGTGTAATGACAAGCAGACAAAAACACACTAAAAATTATGATTAACAGCTGCTTTGCAAAAGCTATAAGTTGGATTTTACAAATTCCTAAATTGTGAGCAACACAAGACGCTGATGGTTACGTGAGTTGTTATGTTTCTACAGGGTTTTATGAGGCAAACAAAACAAATTAAATACACTGACAGGGTTTGAGGGTTTTTCAGCAGTGAGAGACACGCTGAGTGAAAGAAGTGCCTACATTCTGATGGATCATTAGTAAATGGGCCCAAAAAGCTGTTTGAGTGAAAACAGTTTATTCGCAAAAGTTTAAACATTTTAAAAGTTTAACCGTGTGATATTCTGAAATCTAAATTGAAATTCACAACAAATATTAATAAGAATAAGTTAAAGCTATAAAAATGCCAGGTCAGTCTGGCAAAATCCAATTTTCTATAACCTGTTTAAATGTTGAATAAAGTTTCTACTGTGAAGTGTCTGAGCTGTAGAGGATCACAGAAATGTCCAATCTATTTAGCCAAAATTCCAATGAAAGTAATTTGTATTTTTTTTTAATCAGTTTTAAAATTAATTTTCAGCAATTTCAATGTATGTCTTCTTTCATCTTCTTCTTCTCTCGGCTTTTCCTTCTTCAGGGGTCGCCACAGCGAGTCATCCTCCTCCATCTCACTCTGTCCTCTGCATCCTCGTCCTCATATTTCCCCCCATATTTTCAACATGTCTACCTATTTATAGCACACTATACTAGTGAGTGAGCATGAACTATTGAGCATGCATCAGGATATACAAGCGATTGATCCGTACAGTTTGACATATAATAGTAGCATTCACACTATTGTGATCCATTTTTTCTTCCGTATGTTTATCAGCATAAGGGTGCTATGACTTTTGGTATTAGTGCAACTTTAGCTTTTTGAAATATTTAGCCTTTTATGACACTTTTTTTTCCTAACAGAAAATGAATTCAGCTTATTTTAGATCTTTCAAATCTTTAGATCTGTTTACATTTTACTGCTCCTTTCACATTTTGTTCTGGTTCAGCATCTTTCAGCCTCCTTGTGAGAATTTATACTTTTTTAAGCTACTTTCAGCTAATTTCAGCTGATTTTTATGGCGTTTTGTGCTCCTTTCAGATTATTTTGGTTAACTACAATGTTTTGTGCTTCTTTTAACTTCTTTCTGCTGATTTTAGCTTGTTATGCTCCTTTCAACTTATTTCTGCAAGTGTCACCATTTTCTGCTATTTCAGCTACCATTTAGCTGTTTTTATGCTAATTTTAGCTTTTTTGGTTAATTCCACATTTTTTGCACTAATTTCAACATTTCTTAGCCTAGTTCAGCAAAAATGTGCTCTCTCCACTTCCCTTTGGTAATTTAAGCTTCTTTTTGAAAAATTTTAGCTACTTTTCAGCTGTTTTTTGCTAATTTCAGCTTTTTTCACATAATATCCACTTTTTCATGCTCATTTCTGCTTTTTTCAGTCTAATTGGGTAAATGTGTTCTTTCTGCTTTCTTCTGCTAATTTAAGCTTGTTCTACCTTTTCATGTAGTTGTTTTTTTTAGCATTTTAGCATTTTCCAGCTAATTTCAGCTGTTTTCAGATAAATTCAAGGTATTTTTTGGTAATTTCTGCCACTTTAATCCTAATTAATTTATTTCTGTTGATTTCTGCTCCTTTCAGCTTTTTTCTGCTATTTCAGGACCTTTTTAGCTGTTTTGTGCTAAAATTAGCTTTTTCAACTAATACCCACTTATTTTAGCTCATTTCCGCTCTTCCCACTTCCTCCTAGGAGTTTAAGCTTCTTTCCACCTTTTCAGCTACTTTTCAGCCTTTTTTTGTGCTAATTTCAGCTTCTTCTTTTTTTTTTTTTAGCAAATTTTCTATTTTTTGTGCTCATTTCTCCTTATTTAAATCTAATTCAGCAAATATGTGTTCTTTCTGCCTTCTTCTGCTAACTTAGGCTTATTATTCAATTTCAGCTACATTTCACCAGCTATATTTCAGCACATTTTAGCTAATTTCATCTGTTTTTCAGCAAGTTCTTTAGCAATAAGCATTCACACTGCATTTTCGCAGGAAATGCAACTTATCTAGTTTGCTTTTTTATTTTGAAGTCGTGCACCAGAATACAGGGCGAAACTTTTTAATGGAACAGCAATAAAGATGATCCAGTGACGATGCCTTGGCGTCCTTAATGAAAACAGCTGACAGGAGTTAAAGTTAAATTCTCCAGCAACTGAATAATATTATCCCTGCGAGGAAAAATAATCAGTAACGAGGGTCACTGTAGCTGCGACCCCGGTTGATGCAGGTCAGTAGCATTTCTTATTGTTCAAGTGTTAACCTGAACGATTCGGTCCGATCAATCAGAGGAACGCAGTCTGTAAAGGTCTATTACGTGCAGGCAGCATCCATCCATACCGCACTGATCCAATTAAAGGGCCGAGCAATAACGCAGCACCTGATACGTCACGAAGCCGAGGGAGCGAGACGTCCGACGTCGTGAGATTAAAATTCATCCCTCGTTACGGAACAGCAGGAAAATATTTACACCTTTTTCTGCACCGGCGTTTTGCTTGTAAGCTGATGACTGACTGTGTGCTTACTTGATGTTTTGCTGCCGCTTCACCCAGAACTTTGAGTGAAATGATAACATCAAGAAACTTGTTGTTTTTTTTTCAGCTGCACTCGCTTGAATGTAAAAGAGATGAATTACGTTCTGTGGAGATCCGAGGCCTGCGTCACGTTTTAAAGAGGCACCCTCTGATGACTGTTTCTGTTGTCACTGGAGTCCCGATGTACGCAGTCGAGCACCTCCATGATTAGGATAGCATCTGCCTTTTAAGAAACGCAAGAATGCTGCAAAGTTTCTCGAGCTCGCAGAAAAAGGAAAACCCAGCTTCAGAGGATTAATGAAAAGCCCAGGCTTGTCTTTACAAATCCTCTTGTTTCATTTCTCACATATGACTCATGTAGTGAAATATTTGTATAAGGCTCTGCTCTGCTAGACTTTTAGGACTGCAGGCAGTAGTTTCATCCCGAGCGGTGTCATTGTCGGACATATCAAGCCTGTCCTCTCAGTGCCCTCCTGGCCCTTTAAAGTCACACACACACACACACACATACAGTTTTTAGGAAGTGTGACGAGGGAGTAAAAACAACCCCCCACCCCCAAGGGCCAAGAGGCTTGGGAGAAATACTCTTCTGAACACTGTGAAGTAAAGTCTGGGTCGTGGCCTCCTCACGTATAAGACCTGCTAACCCAACGCTCCACAAGGACAAACGGTAGGAAACGATGTCCTGCTCTCTGTGGCCGCTTAACGAACAGGTGCATGTTGTGCAAAATAAACTGGATCGTTGAAAACCCACCAAGACCAGCCACAACCTGACTGGAAAACTAGACGTAGGAGCAAAGATGCACGAGAGCATAAAAGTCTTGAGTTTGCACTGGACTTTGGCATTTACATAAAGGTATGAAGCCCAGTCTTCATCTCAGTGCTCCCTCCTCCTTCTTTTTTCCACTGACCGGCCTCACAGGAACACTGAAAATAACTTGACCTGCTCAGCAATGGGACTTTCAAGTCAGGGTTTTCAATGAGAGGAGCTGCGTGCACGGGAGAGGCCTGACTGTTCTCCACTACAACCTCATCTGTGTGGAGGAATACATTTAGGACGGTACGCCACAGTGAAGTCATTACTATCACCAAACCAGATGTCTTCTTCTGTCTTTCCTTTCTGTTTTGGTCATAGCCCAGACAGACAGAGCTCTGGTGTAAATGTGCTTCTTTAGCTCAATAGCACCCCCTGGTGGGGCTCGCTTTAGTGGTTGGCACACTGACATCCAAACCAACTAAAATCCCAGGGTTTTATCTTTTTTTTTTCCTCACATGGACAGGGACAATTGAAAAGACGACATGGAAAAAAAAGGGGGCTTTGCGTTTAAGGTTACTGACACCAACGTCTGAAAGAAGTGTCTAATTTTGGAAGAGCGCAACAGAGCACGAGGAACGGCTGGAGAACATCTGGAGCCAAAGATTTACTGTTTTCTCTCACGCCTCGATTTGAGCAGTGTCACAGACGAAGATCCCTGTTCGGCTTCGCTCTTTAACTAATAACGTGAATCAAACACGAATCCAACTAAAGCAAAGACACCGGCGCCTCAGTTTATGCTCCAGCACAAAGTTGGACAAACCTGATTGCACCAAACAGATGTGAAATGCAGCTTAACACGTAGATTTTTAGGGCTATCTTGCAAAGAAAATCTATTTGTAACATATGCATACAGTGCAATCAGCTAAAACCCGTAAATAGCATCAACTGTAAGAAAGCATGCCCTGCTTCTGAAAATGATCTCTTGTAGTTTCTTGCATTTGCATGCAGGCGTTATTTAATTACTCACCCAAGATTTCCATGGGCCCTTTCAGAGACAGAGAGCGGATCTCTCATGCATGTGAGCTGCAATACAATATTCCACTAAAGAGGAAATAATTAAGTCGGGCGCCTTTGCTTTTTGGTATTAAATCAGCTGAGAGGAGAGGAGGGGGTCATCACTCTGTGCTGGAGTAAGGCTGCTCTCCATCCTCCCTGCTTCCTCTGGTGTGATGGTATTTCATGCCTCTGTTTCACACCAAATATAGGCCAAGAACTCCTGGAACCCATCTCAGTCCCTCACTTTAAAAAAAAAAAAAAAGCACATCCCTTAAGATCAGACACGCTGTCTCAGAAAATCTGTCGCTCCGAGGAGGAACTGAACGAGCCGCTCCAGGATGGTGATCATGAAAAAAAAGCAGACGTGTCTTAATGATTATTTCAAAACAAGCTGGGGATCAACTAACACAGCCCGGGTTAGAACGAGGGAGAAGTTAGTCCATGTTAGTCGCACGCTATTAACTTAGCCTGGTTGTTAACTTGAACCGCCTGTTTGTTTTTTTAGGAGAATCCAGAGCTCAATAAACGCCACTTTTACCACGCGGACTATTTGTCCTCGCGGCGTGTTTTTAAACGTGCTGGGAATAGCTCGAATGCGGGCTAATATTAGCTGGCTAATGATGTCTCCACGTTCCAGCTGCCTGTATTCGGAGGGAGAAAACAGCGGAGACGTTTGTTTGTTTTTTGGTTTGTTTGTTGTTTTTTTTTAACTGTACGTGTCTCCACTTTCCCCCCCTCGCGCTCGCGCCGTCTCCGCGCGGAGTTGCCTCAGCGCTAAAGATTAAAAAAAAAAAATAAAAAAAACGCCGCCGCGGTTTAGCTTTAGTAGTTAAATTAATCCCATTATATTTCTCTTACCTTCCGGCTTGTTTTCGGCAGCCATTTCCCCTTCACGCGCAACATCCTCCTCCTCCTCACGACCGTGGGTACCACGCGCGTGCACGGCGAGGACAGCACGAGGAGGGACGCGAGCGGAGAGCGGCGGCGGTCCGACAGAAGCGAACTTACCATTGGCTGTGAGGCGGTGACTGATGGACGACACGGCTCCTTCAGCAGCGCTGGCTTGTTGTTGGTGTTAAAGCAGACCAGAGGCAAAGATGCTCTGACGTAAAGAAAGACACGAGCAGGTGAATGAAATAAAAGAAGCTTTTCTTATTTATTATGTTTTTTCTTTTTCCATCTAACTTCTGTATAATTTGTGTTTTGGTTAGCCACTCACAGCAAAACAAGATGGCTGCGGTGGCTTTTGTAACTTTTGTACTTTTTAAAAAACATTTAACTTTATTTCCAAATGTTTCCCCCAAATAGAAATACACTGAGATCCTTTTAGCTTAATATTCAAAAGCAGAGCTCTGAAACCCGCTCCAGCGAAATTGCTCTATTTTGCTATGTCTGGCTTTTAGCTAGCCTTTTGTTGTTTTAGCTTCTGGTGACCCCTTTGATACTTTTTGCTAACATTTTGCTACATTTCACTTTTAGCTAACCTATTTATTTGTTTACCTACTGTTTTTTTGTTTGTTTGTTTTTTTGCTACTTTAGCTTTCATCTCTAGCATTTAGCTAGCTAGTTGTAATTAGTGGCATGTAGCGTTTAGCTTTTGTTACTACTTTTAGCTAGCCTTTTGGTACTTTCCTCAGTTGTTTTGCTACATTTAGCTAAGCTTATTTTTGCTATTTTTAAGTTGCATTTTGCAACTTTTAGCTTCATGCAAGCATTTTACTACATTAACCCATCATTTTGCTACATTCAGATTTTAGCTAGCATTTTGTTACTTTTACCCTTTGCTAGCCTTTTTGTAGTGTTTCTATTGCTAGCTTTCATATCTCTGTTTTTTCTTTTATCGTTTAGCTAGCCTTTTGATACTTTTAGCTATGCATTTGCTATCATTTTGCTAAATTTAGCTTTTAGCTAGCCTCCTGTGGTTTTAGCTTCTAGGTAGCCCTTTAATACGTTTTGCTATTATTTTGCTACATTTTACGTTTAGCTAGCCTATTTATTTGGGCTCACTTTGCTACTTTAGCTTTCATCTCTAGCATTTAGCTAGCCTTTTGTAATTAGTGACATGTAGCTTTTAGCCTTTTTTACTACTTTTAGCTAGCCTTTTGGTACTTTCTGCAGTTATTTTGCTACATTTAGCTTAGCTTATAGCTAACATTTTCCAACTTGTAGCTTCATATGAGTGTTTATACATTTACCCATCATTTTGCTGCATTAAAATTTTAACTAGCATTTTGTTACATTTAGCGTTTGCTAGTCTTTTTGTATTTTAGCTTTTAGCTAGTGTTTTTCTATTGTTAGCTACTTTTACAATTTAGCTAGCTTTTTGGTACTTTTAGCGTATAGCATGCATTTGCTATCATTTTGCTAAATTTAGCTTTTAGCTAGCCTTTTCCTATTTTTATTGTTCAGCCAATGTTTTCCTACTTAGTACTTTTACTAGCATTTTGCTACTTTTGTTTTTTAGCTAATGTCTTACTTCACTTAGCTATAAAATCTCAGTTTCATCTTCTTTAGTAAATTTCAGCAGTCATTCAGCGCTCAGCATCCCCACTCCATTTTCACAGAAAATGTGATTTTTCTAGTCATTTTGAAAAATGTTTTTTTTTTTTTTTTTTATATCAAAGTAAGTTTGATCATGTGAATTAATGGAGATTTAACCCATCAGTGTAGAGACAACACAAACATGAGATTTAGTATCATATAAGTTCAGTTTATGCTTACCATTTTACTTTAATGGTCATTTTACTGGATCTATTTAGGATGTCCAAGAAATCACAAGTTCATAATATTAATTTTGGTCTTATAATTGTTTTATAGAGTCTGTCACCAAAGGAGTGGATTGTTTGTCATTCTTCAAAATGAGTTAACTTTACGGCACCATAATGTTAGATATTTCCAAGTGTGGGTCCCACCTCTTGTGATTTTAGCACTGGCTGTACCACTCTCAACACAATAACTGTAGATTTTGTATTAGTAGCCTATTTGTACAAGTTACGTTTTGTTTAAAAAACTAATTAGGGATTAGTTATGTATTTATTCAGTGTAAAAAAGATATGGTATATAGGGCAACAGCTGCATGGCTGTTTATGAACTTTTTTAAAGTGCTGGTTCTGTATAAATAAACCTGAACTGAACTGATTCTGTTATTAATGTTTAAAGCTAAGTATTTCAATCCCGTGTGCCTAACAGTAATATGTATACTTAAAATACGTAGTGATGCAATGAAAATGTGGAATCTAAAGCTTGTCTTTTCATCACCAGCCACAGAGAAATGTTCTGCTGACCGTCACTACTGAGCTGTTGTGTGAGGATGTGGTGCTGAAAGAACAGCTCCCCTGCTAACAGAAGGGTCCAGTCAGACAAAACATGGTGTCCCCGTGAAGACAGTGAAACTAATAAAATGCACAATATATTTACATTGGTTTGTTGTTATCATCTTATTGCTTCTAGCTCAATATAACAAAGTCAAGTTCTCTATGTTAAAGCCTAAATGTGTGATTTTTAAATGTAAGCTTTTTATACCACCCTATTGCACTTTATCTTCTAAAAATCCACCACAATTTATTAAAGAAGCATCAACTTTTTTTTGTTTTCACAATCTCTTTAGAATAAACGAATAACAGAAACTTGATATTTAAAAAAAAAAAAAGAAGTAATTTCCAGCTTCCACAGGAGAAACGACTGTGCTGCAGTGGCGCACCCCGGCCACAAGGGGGTAACAGAGCGCGCAGATGAACCTTTTTGTTGCGTTTTATGGCACGAAGAAGAGATGACCGGGCGAAACCATGGCGTGCGCCTTGGACGAGGATGAGATCTGCAATGATGATTACTATTCGCTTCTAAATGTCCGAAGAGAGGTACAGCATGTCGTTTTAATGTAAAGAGATACCTGTGACGTTACATGTGTCGACTTTTCCGCGTTCGTTCTCGGGTTGATATTAGCAGCTGCTTGTATAATTAGATGTAACTTTTAACAGTGACCCTCGACATTGAATGTGAAGTGTCACTTTTTTTAAAACCAACAAGATGCACTGCAAACTAGCGTTACAGTTTTATCGTGGTCGTGTATGGGCTGAAGATATAAGGTCTGGTGTTGCTGTTGTTATTTTCTGTTTAATTACGAAGGTGCTTGTGGTTGTTATGGGATGTGCTAACTTAACTAGCTAGTGCTACATCTCGAGCTGTAACCTGCAAGTAATGAGCTTATACTGTAAATCTGAGTTTTTACCGGTGGGCTCGGCTGGTTTTCTTTCTTCATCGTTTTTATTTTTTTTAATTCACGGCATCGAGTATTGGGTTGACAAGATATGCCTTTACCAAACTAATTTAGGTTGTGGCGCGTGGTGGCAGTGTGTTTATGCTACAGAGTTCAGACTTTGTGCTTATCTTCAAGTGGGGGACTGATGTTATTTTTAAGGCTTATGTATCAAAAGAGTCCCAAACAAAGATGTGCAGGACAATTCTGCTTTAAGAAATTATAATTAACATTTTATTTATATAATATGATTTTCATTCGCTGATATGAGTAGACATTGCAACTGGACAAGAACAGGGTTTCCAGAGAAAACCTGGAAAATGACTTTCACATTTTCCAGATGGGAACCATAAAATCAGAACATTTAAACCCTGTTCTGCTGATTATAAGATGATCTTCCAGAGATTTTGACAGGTGCAGGTATTAATGCTCATATTCTAGTATTCATGAATCCATGTTTTGCTTCTACAGTGTACAGAGTACATTTATTCTTGGATATCATGGCTTTTTAGATTGTGATGTTATAATTATTAAGTATGTACATATGTTACAGTATACGTACTGTCATCTCGGAATGACACGAACTGAAATATCTTCTGGAATTTCAGGATTTACTCTGTAAAGTATCAGGGAAAACTCAGGGGATTTTGTTTTTATAAAAATGCTGGAAAGCCTGAATAAAAATTTGATCAAATCATTGAGATTTTTTTTTTTTATCTTTATTGTAAATAATGAACATATATGCATATCTGAGGAAGATATGACTGTGCGAGAGTATCTGTATATGTATTTTTTGCCTTCTCGTGTATGTCTCAAAGCATATTAACCCAGCAGAGTTCTCCAAACACTAATAAACTCCCTGTCAGAGAGCAGCTTACTGTTTTTGCTGTTTAGTGAAATATCACAAACCTAGTCTTGTCTGCTTCATTCGTGGATGTAATCTGGGTTAAAATGCCTCGTTGCTTTTTACAGTGTGGACAGCAAAGCTCCTGATGTGTGCGCTGCTTCATATTTCTGTCTTTTTAGCCTGACGGTACTGATTTACTCTACGATCTTTAAAACATCATCCCTTTGTCCGCAAACTGAGCTCACTGCTTTGCTCTTGGAATCCGTAAACCAACACTTAGAAGTTCATGGCTCGTCAAAAACTCTACATCGTCTCGGTCTTTGTTTTTGTTTGGCTTTACTGTGTTGTGTGTGCACACAGGAAGCTGATGAAGTCAAGATCCTAGAGTTTGCCTTTAAAATAAAAGCACTGCAAAAGCCAGTTTCAGTATAAAAGCAGAATGATTTAGGTTTGGTTTCTGATTTTCTTTGACCCCCCCCCCCCCAA